TTTCGCATATAATTCCCTCTTCGCGTGCACTTGCAGATATGGACCACCTACTTTAGCAGGCGATATTCTTTAGATGCACCACCGAGCGTGCGCATGTAAGATGTTTGGTTGGTGAGGAAACTGTGGATGTAAGTATATGCCATTTTTAGGCGCGGTTGTCCGTTGTTGGCGCAGTAGCTACAGCTGCTGCGGGGAGCACCAAGAACCGTACGGTATTTGGCGAACTATTTAGGACCCATGGCAAGCGTTAGGCTTATCTCACCCCTTACTGCTTTGTAGGCATCCTATTGTGGCTTCCCGATGAGGTAACGTTCCTGAACATAGCTAAAGCGAAAGAAGCAAACTTCGGGATATCTCTCGTGAGAACAGTGTGCTGTCGTCGGTATGTCGGACGTTCGATGTACAATCGCCTGCCCTAGGCGTTCATCAAGCGCGGCTGCTGGTACTCGGTCGCTTAGTAAGTTTTCCTCAGGACCGACAATGAATTACGTTCCCGGCGTCTACGTGTGTGTACCAGAAGGGCTAACATTTGGCAACACATGACATGGAGACTATATCGTGTTCCCCATCGATCTTTAACATGCTGGGCCTGGGAGTCTCGAAAGGGTGTTGACATTCGGGCTGTGCGAGCCCATTAAATTAACTCTTCGGTTGTACGAAAGCGCTGTAACCATACCTTATTATTACAAAGCAGTTAACTGTTCCGTATTCTGGTGTAAACAGATGACGACACAGAGATGTCTCCGTTGCTTATCAGCGTAAACCGGCGTGTAGGGTGCTTGAGAAATTAGTGGAACGAATGTCGCAGGGGAGCCAGATTTCTGCGCTTCCTGGTAAAAATGTGGTGATTATGGGAATATGTTAGAAGCAATGCAAAATTCTCCTCTTCCAGTAAGGAAATGCCTATCCAACTTTTAGCTTAGGACCCTAAATAGTCTTCTATAGGCTTAAAGTTGTGCGCACATGGAGCTAAACACTAAATGTTTGAATATAATTATTGTTTATGGCAACGAAGTCTGTGATTTCGCACAGCCGTGCGGTGGTTTTGGAATTAAATAAGTAAATAAATAAATATTTATTCTCGGCTATGCAAGGCATGCCCGCTAGGGCCTGATCAAATAAGTGCGATCATACAGACGTGTCATGGCAGTAAGAGAAAGTAGAAATCGTTACACCCGAATGGGGTATGCGACTGCCATATTTAACTGAGCTAACGAAGATATCCATTAATCGGACTAAATTCGGGCGATTACAAAAGCCCGGAATTTGTATCCCCCGGACCTTTATCAGGCGCCGATCTGGCTCCTATCATGCGGAATTAACATCCCCGGAGCTTACAATATGGTGCGGTATTTCCTTGTCAAATGAGGTTGAGCACTACCTAAACGTCGTGTCATGTTTGCTGTGCCATCGACGGTTTCAACTTTCTGAAGATTTGGTAACACGTTTTCTCAGTTTGCAATAGTTATAACGGCGGGAAATTGTTATTTGCTGGGTTGTTGGAACTAACGACGCATGCCTTCCGACAATGGGGGGTTCAGAGCAAATGTGCGCATTCCTACAGTACGTGAACCCATAAATATTGCACGTGTGTTGGAGTGGGTTTACGCACGCTTAACGGCCGACCGTGAACAAAAACTATGCAGTGAACCTTACAAGATGTTCAACTTCCACAATTCGGACTTCAGAGCTTTCACCTAGACCCCTGAAAACCTCTGTAACGTGTTACTTCTTTGTAACGACGTAATGCGTACGAGGAGTTATGCAGCACTTATTGCGATAGTTCACGTTAAAGTTGCTTGATGGAAGAATTGATGAATGTTAGATAGTCTTGTATTGATCGATTGTAAAGCAAACGTGTATTTAGCGGCAAATATGGGGTCACGACGCAACATGGAGGAACCTATATTCTTATAGAGAACAACTTGACAGATGCCAATTTTATCAAATCTGCACACTTAATGAGTTCATAGGTAATGTTCCTGCGCTATGCTATTTATGTATAATCAACTTGATAAAACGATTACAAATTCTTGAAAGCACCAAAAGGGTAGTGAGTTGGCCGCTCTCCTTCCGTTATTGCGTTACTCGATGAACTGGGTGTGCACGCGCGAATTTTCCAAGGCGACTTAAACTCCTGGTCCAGGAAAATGGGTACTAGTTGTACACAGGCCCTACAAGGGCTCCAGACAGACTATGGAACTTGCCTGCTTTGTAACATCCGGCTATCTAACGCGCCTAAAGGTTTTTATTCAAATAGGATTAAATGACCCACCGACGCAATATGTATTCAAGGGTTATGAAGTCCCTCGGGTTTCACTCCAAGCTGACCTAAATGTCTCGCATTTGTCTGCGTTTAAGTCCGGTGAACCTTTCACGGCAGCTGCACGCAAAGATTTCGGCTGGTTGTAGATGATCAGCTTATCATTCGGGACCATGACAACTGGAAGGTTTGCAAGATTATTTGCAGCCTTTGTTAAGCCACACTTAGAATACTGTATGCAAGCTTGTCCACCCTGTTTTGTTCGGGACGAAATGCCGGTTGGACGAGTTTTACGGTCAGTGGCGAAAACGGGGTTACAAATAGAAAAAAATATATAAATGTATATTTTCGCTGTTACACGGGGCACGCTAACAAGGCAGGATCAGCTGGCGTACCTCGAGAAGTTAATCGAGTTGGATAACTTTTTGACGTAATACAGACGATTTCGCTGTTACTTCATCCCTACCTTACGTATAATAACAGAGCAGGCCGGCACCTATTTGGCTTGAATGTTCCAACATAATCGGGTGCCAACGTATAGCGAGTCGACATTCCGCTCTATATATAACTGAATAAATAAATAAATAAACTTTCATTCTCGACAATGCAAGGCACACCCATACAGGCATGATAATATTTAGCTAACATAGTGTGCTCAAAGTGTACAAAAAGGATATGCTTGGCATAACATTGTATGTAAGTGTAGGGGTGTATATACGTATGTAATTGTTTAGGAATGTAGCTTGTGTTTTTGAATGCGCTACAGAATTTTTGACTGTCTGTTATCGTCAGGAATGTGAGAATAAGCTACATGTTTTCGTGGGTTGGATAGCATTTTCCGAATATCCACGGGCCAGTGACTTTAGTTTGTGGCGAGTCACATCCGCCACATCGCAGTGTTGATAAGCAGACATTTGTGGCTTTTTATAGGGAGAACGCTTGCCAGGCGAAAACCCACTACGTCCTGGGACACTGCCGCCGAACTATTTGCTGGAACGGGTTAAACCCGAACCACCCAGCTGGCACCACGAGGAGGTTGTTCGGTCAGCCAGCCAGCTTTGCGGCTAAGCGACCACCCGAGTGCACACGGGAGAACACACGAAAGTAAGCTAGAGAAGACTTATTGGACGGTCATTTAAGTGGTTGAGGCTAAAAATTGGTGCAACAGAGGAAAGCCAGCTGGGGTAGATGTAGCCGTACATCCAGGGCGTGGTTGAGCGTCGTTCGCCGTCCGTCGCGTGCTTCAAAGGCGGATATCCTAGTTGTGTTTCAAATAAATAGGATAAGAGTGACGGTTGAACTGTTTGCTGAGCTTCGCAATTTTGTTGCAAACGTTTCGTCACCAACCTACGTGACATCATCAGTGCGTAGTTGAGTGGAGTGCAGCAGCACAGAACAGCGTAGAGGAGCCACGGTGATGGAGCCAGTCTGCCATTCTATGGCCGAATAAGACAACGTTCCCACAAGTGGACCGCAGAGTTTCCTAATACATAAAGTTTAATTTTATTATATTTTAGAATAAGCAGCACCGTCCTGCGGGGAATCTCCAGATGACTACAAACTCTTCGTGACCATCCACTGACGTAGAGCAAACCCCTTTGGACCGGGTTGGGACTGATACTTAGTTATCACACCGTTATAAACGCTTAAAACGCGCTGCACGCTGAAGCATTGATGGCACCAACGGTGAATGAGTTCGAGAATCGACTTGAAGCGCTTGGTCTAAAGTACCAAACCTTCCCCATTCAGATTAGCTTGACCCTTATCTGTTAGTGCTTACATCTATTTAATCCAGCTTTGCGTTACAAAATGGTTACCTCATTGCTCCAGCTTGCCATGTTTTTGTTTTTCTTCCACTTTTACTTCATCTCACGAGACCGGCACAGCGGAGACTGCGCTTGATGGGTACGTGGGCATTAGCTGTTTGACACTAGAGGGTGCCGTGTGTGTTTGTTTGCCCCCGCATTGAAGATCGCCCAACAGGCATGCCCTCCGGGAGCAACGACACTTTGCAACGTGGAGCGACCACCGGAAGCCCAGTTGCACTTGACCATGCAGTTAGTGAGGATTTGATAGAGACGTTTAAGATCATTAAGGGACTTAATGGCATTAGTTCCACCCATCTGTTTGAGTTGGCTATGTCAGATCATCTGCGCGGGCATCGCCTGAAGCTCAAACATCACAGAGCTTGTTTGGACCTCAGAGCAAAGTTTATTACGATCCTAGTAGTTAACCTCTAGAATAAACTTCCTCCTGATTTAGTAGTGAATGAGACCGTAGAAGCCCTCAAAAGGGGCTTAGACGATTATTAGTGTCCTTTTTCCAGTGATATTGTAGTTGTACTGGAATATGTAGCGTATTTTGATGCTGGCAAATGAAAGTACGAAGATTGCTCTTGTTCTTGCTTCATTCTATTGCAGAAGCAAGAAGAGACAATCCATCGTCGAAGTGCCCATGGGGGGCGCTTCGCCTACCGGCACAAGAACTGGACGCTCGTTAGGCGAAAGCCCCTATCGTCCGTCTGACCTGACCTGACCTAGTGCAAGTACCTCAACCATTCACCTATGAAAGCACAACGTGGCTTCTAAAAGTGATTAATTATAATAGTATTTACTTCTTCAAGATGAGTGATTTTTCTTTTACACAAAGATGCTGGTTTCCTTTTTCAAGGACGTTGGCTGAAATGTCCATCGCTCAGATTTCACGTGTTTTTAGCGCTTCGCTCGAGAGGCTTGCGATGTCGTCCTTTACCGTATCTGAGCATGGCGCACTTAACACCAAATCCTATCGGATGTTCCTAAGTATGCTCGAAAATTCATTGCCTACTTCCGTTCTGCTGGTAATCATTTTAAAGTTTACATTATTTGTGCACATATTGTACGCGAACTCATCTGCCCCGGTTATTAATCTCTTCTGTAAACCAAAGATTTGTTTTACCTGCCAAACATTTAACCTTTTCGTTTCGGTTTTTGGTGCCTGCCTGAGGAGATGCAGCTTTGAATATGTCTGTTGTTCAAGTTGAAGTTCGGGTGAATGAACAATGGTAGATGATCGTAGATGTTGCAGTTTTAGCAGCTTATTAATCATGAATTGAAAGTACGTCGCACCCAAGTCATTAAAGAACTACCCGCTTGTCCATTTCTAGAAATCCAGACATTTTCAGACCAAGTTCTTTCACTGCGTTCCATCCTCTCTTTGAGTGGCATCGTGTGTTTGAGGGGCAGTTCTTTATTTAGGCGACAATTGGGCTCCTTAACGTTGAAATAATCAGATCTACTGACTAGCGAGAGAAACAGCGTTTTCTCACCTCTTGCCTGATATGGCAAATTGGCCATGCTTGACGGCTTACCTCTTCAACCGAGATATATCGTATGGTTGTCAGTTTTCACGCTTAATACCAAACTTTAACCAATCCGAAAATTGTGCATTCGTGCTGTGCCTGTATAACCAGTTGTGAAGCGCGATTCAGCCCTTATCTGGTAGCTCTGATACGTAAGAGGCGTGCCACAGAAACAATAGTAGCGACTAGACCCGTTGTATACCGTGCTAAGACGTAGGAAGCAGGAGCAGGTAAGAGAGAGCCGATTTTCACAGCGCACCGGAAAAGGGCAATTGGTGGGGGCTAATACCAAAACAACTTGAAGATTATGGAGGGAAATTGCAAGCATATGGTTATTTTCCAGTTTCTCATACCTGGCTCGGCGAACTCGGCACGGCGCCTACCTGATCAAGATGTACAGTTGGTATTCCATGACTGCTTAGCTCATGGTGAATTGAGGAAAGTCACTTTCTCTATGCAGTCCTATGTGTTTATGTCACACGAGGCATGGACTATGTTGATTCGGCGCTAAACAGGCATGAGTTCGTTTGTCCAGTTGTTCTTATGAAATATAGAGCCAATATACCACTGTACGGCTAGCGAAGACAGAACATATTCATTTGCTCGTGTGTGGTGTCAAGTATTCCTCGATTTCCGCAACTCGAGGAATATTTAGTCGCCCTACTCCTTTCACTAAGGGAACCAGCATTTACGATTTACAAGCCCAGGTCGATCAGCGTATTTTACGAGCACAACAGGCTGCTTCTGTTGACAAGAAGACACAACTGCCACACTAGATTACCACCATCGACCTCAGTCAAATCTCCGCAGACTGGACCACAGCGTGGTGTGACGGTTTGCGTACCAACGACACATTTTGTTAACTTATGTTTTATGCTCGTGCCCCTTGAGATCACTTCACACCATATTGATCAATGATTAGAGGTCCGACAAACTCTCTTCTGGCCCTCTAAGTTGGGTTGAAAATGGGATACATTGAATACATTGCATTGTCGAAAGCAGGTGGCAGAACCCTTGTCAGCTTTATCACATCCCAACTGGACTGAGGCAGGTGCGTGTTAGCGAGAAAAGGTGTTCACAGCGGAGGAGCACAATTACACGAATAATGGCACGGTCACGATAAACTAAGCAGGTGGAAAACAACCTCTTGGAACATTCCTCAATGGGACCGCTGACCACAGCTTCAGGTAAATTGTTCCAAACATTCACCACCCAGGTAGGTTAGATGATCTCTAGGCGAACTCGATGCCCCCTCGGTTTAAAGACTTTCCAACTGTGTCCACGAGTTGAGATACATTTGTTGATCTGGCAGTACTGTCGTAGATTGCTACCCAACTCGCTTCTCAGAATGCGTCTTGCGTAGATTAGGTCTCCACGCGGTGGAGGTAGTCTAAAGAGAACATATTTCTACGTGAGAGGCAATCGTAGTGGGACAAATTCCGAAGATCTGGGACTGATTTGGAACTCGCCATTAAACTTTCTCCAGTGGATTGCACTCGAACTTGGTGAGTGGGTAACTCGCAGGCATGCCGCACTCAAGGATGGAACGCACATGTGAAAGGAACAGGAGTTTGAAGATCTCATGATTCATCCGAGATAATGATCTTATATTCCAAAACGTCCTGTTAGCTGCAGCGATTTTATTTGACGTTCCTTGGGTTGTTCGTAGATCGGAGGATACAACGACGCCGAGATTCTTTGCCCGATTGGCAGTCGCTAGGAGGTAGCCACCGATGTGATGGAGGCCAAGTGGATCAGGGGCGCCAATCGAGAAGGTACTTATCATGGTTTATAGCTAACCCCTAGACAACGGACCAGTTGTGCAACATGTTAAGTGACAAGTACAGTTTATCAGCATCGTCAAAGCTGCTGACCTCCATCCACTGTTTCAAGTCATCGGCATAGATTAAACAATCGGCTTGAACCACTGTCGGAAGGTCATTAATGAAGATCTTGAATAAATCTGGGCCGACAACCGAACCTTGAGGCAACTTACTGACCATCGGAACGGGTGTAGAGTGGGCTTCGTTCACCTTCAGTCGCATTGAACGGCTTTTGAGCAAATCAGCAATCTAAGAAGGAATATTCCCAGGGACGCCAATTCCAAAGTTTGCAGAGGAGACGTTTCTGGTGGACTTTGTCAAACGCCTTACTGAAGTCGACGAAAACGACATCCAGACGTTTACCAGCATCCAACGATCTGGCCCATTTCTCCCCAATAACGAGTAAATTGGCGATGCAAGTACGTGCTTTTCTGAACTCATGTTGTACGGGCGAGGCAATAGGATCTCGGCCGCCATGCACGACGCAGGATCATCTGCTTGTGGCACTATCAATCGTCATCGCACCAGTCATTGGATATCCGAGCGGTCGATGAGCCTGTTGGAATCTAAAAGGCACATCCCGGCTGGCTCTGAGCACAATGTGACCAGACGGGCTATTAGGCGTGAATTAAAGCAAAGCCTACGTGCTGACAAGGAAGCCTGGTGGACCAGTCGGGCTCAAGAAATGGAGGAGGCAGGAGCAGTAGGCAATTACCGCAAGCTCTTCCAGCTAATCCGGACCACTGGTCCCAGGAAACCGGCCGTAAGCGAAATAATCAGAGACAGCGCGGGTGCGCTGATACACAATAAGGCGCGCCGTATGGCTCGTTGAGCGGAACACTTTCAAGATCAGTTCACTTGTCTCCCTGCTCCCGGACCTCTTTTTACTCAGGTGATGCAGGACGAGCCATGGACGAGAGTTTAGACCCTCCGTCAGAGGCCTAGGTCCGAAACGCGATCATAGCCCTCAATCGTTTTCGTGCCGCTGGCCCGGATTCCCTTCCACCTGCACTATTTAAGGATGGATGTGAGGTCCTCTGCAAAACATTGACCTCCCTATTCGAACGTATCTGGAAGGAAGAGAGTCTCCTGACTGATTGGAGCAGTCGCACAGACTGTTCTAACCACAGGGGTATTAGGCTAACACCAGTTGTGACAAAATTACTGGCCTCGATTCTCGTTCGTCGCCTCACTGCGGAACGGGGTTCCTGGATTAGGAAAGAGGGGGCAAGTTTCCGCCCTGGACGTGGCTGTATAGACCATATATTCACTTTGCGGCAAGTGCTAGAGCAGCGCCACACATACCACAGACCGACAATAGCTGTGTTCCTCGATTTCACGAGTGCGTTCGATTCAGCCGATCGATCGATTCTGTTCGAAATACTTGCGCGGAAAGGTGTTCCCACGAAATATAAACATCCTTAGGGCTCTTTACTCGGACACTACAGGCCGCGTCCGAGTCTCCGGTAGCCTATCGGATAGCTTTCCGATCACAAATGGCGTTCATCAGTGTTGTCCGATTTCCCCATTTTTGTTCACTTTCGTGGTGGATTCTATCATGGAGTTTTCTCTTGGGGAATCTCACGATGTAGGCGTTGAAGTGCTGCCTGGTGAAACGTTAGTTGACCTAGATTATGCACACGATATCATCTTGCTTTTCGACGATGTTGCGGCGACACAATCAACCCGTAATATACTGTCCAGAGTGGTCCCATTATTTGGAATGCAATTCGCATCTTCAAAGTGTAAATTGTTGCTGCAGGACCACCAGTCACTTGAAGACCCCTTGACGCTTGCTAACGAGGAACTCGAGATGGTTGATTCACTTATCTGGGCAGCTGCATCAGCAACAACGGGCGCATAGAAACTGACGTCAGCTCACGCATTGTAAAGGCCATAGCTGACTTCTTGAACCTGCGTCATCTTTGGCGACAGAAGGGAATTTCCCTCCGTCTGAAAGACCGTGTATGCAAGGCCACAGTGAGGGCCATTCTGCTGTATGGTAGTGAGACTTGGCCCCTTCGATCTGAACATCTGAGGCGCCTTCAAGTCTTTGATCATCGTTATCTGCGAAGCATTGCTGGTGTCGGATGACACCAGCGTGTCCGCATCGATGGTGTGCGTAGGCGAGTACTAGGCAAAGATAACCAAGCTAGTTCCTGAGAACAACTGATAACACTGAACAAGGTGCGTTGGCTTGGGCACCTGCTACGTATGCCTGCTCACCGCTATTTAGGAGGGTCTGGTTCAGTCTACCAGGTGTAGGGTGGCGCATGGCTCGAGGTGGACAGAAGTTGACTTGGCAGCGAGAAATAAAGTTACTAACGACCAAACTGGGTGCCGTTGGTCCGTCTGGTCTTCCGGGCTGGAGTCCACGTGACTCGCCTTGTGCTTGACTCGAGACTTTACAAGACAGCTCGCAACCGACATCA